ATGATAATCGGTGTAAAAGACTCTCAATCGATAGATCCTTTGTGTATTAATGTATACTTTAATGGTAAAAATCATTAATATATCTCTAGTTCCCTCATGCATCCTAAAGACTATGTGCCCAGGGTCTTGACTTCGAAGACATTTTGTTAAATATTGCAGGTGATGGCGAACGATGCTTGGGACGAAATAATGAGTGTGCATTCGGCTCGAAAGCCTGTGCCCAGTGAGAAGGATTCATTCGTCAACGTACTCGGTCTTAGGCCGACTCGCGAAAAGCGTGCTGCCATCTGCGGTAAATACTTATTTCCAGCGCGTTTGCATAAAAAACTCTGATTGGGTATAAATGTGACACCAAAATGCAAAATCAAAAAGTATAAGTCAGCATGCGCAACGACTACAACGAGTACGCCCTGTTTATCAGATTTTACTTTCTCACATTGCTGCAGTGATATTTTGCATGCTACTCATCTGGTACAGAGCGTTACTGCTTATATGACCACGAAGAGACGCCTTAAGGATGGTTCGCTCCACTGTGTTTTCCACAACTAGCGTCTGTCCTTCTGCTTCTGTCACTGGCCAGATTTCATATCCGTACTTTATGTGTGCGATACAGTGATGTAATAGTCCAAAAGCGGTTGCAGTTTTGCAAAATTTGCGCCAACAAGCAGCTCTTCTACATGCAGTCGCAGGCTAAAGGTTGTGGCCCATTTACTTCCTACCGAAGATAGACATAACTGTAGCTTCTTCCAAATCCCTTCTGTATAACAGCAATTTTTTGCCGCGGGCATGTTGGGTTTTCGCGCCATCTTTGTTTTCTGTGTGTTGAAATTACAATCAATTTCTTTATTTCGTGTTTTGATCCCTGCAGCACCTCAATTTATGTTTCAAGACTACTCGCAATAAAAATTATGTAAGCTGCGAAGCGCGATGATTTGTCTGGTCACTAATTTTCAGGCCATCTTCAAGTTCATACTATCCCGAAGCAAGCCGTTTAAAGCTTGAGCAGTGTAAGATCATTCTGTCTCACTCCTCGTTTGATCAGTGTACGGACTGAATTGGAGAAAAATGTCAAATTATGCAGACCATTAGGATTATTAGGATCTTATTGTGTCAGAAAAAATTGGAACACTGTTTTAGCATGTGCTCTTCAAGCAGCGAATTGTCCAGCAGGACCGCCTGGACCACCTGGAGAACCCGGCCTACCGGGAGGTAATCTTATTCACACTTTTAATAAATGTGTTTAATAGCTATTTCCTTCTTTCCGTTTGTGTTATTTTTGTATATCAAATTGTAAAAAATAAATTCGTAATTTTTATTGAACTAAGAGAACTAAAATCCGGATTTTGTAGAACCAGGCGAACGTGGTTTGGATGGAAAACCGGGACCTCCAGGTATTGCTGTAACAACGGGAGCTGGCGCACGAGGAGGTTGCTTAGCGTGTCCACCAGGTCCAATGGGACCACCTGGTGCTCCGGGACCAATGGGTCCACCTGGCCCAGCTGGAGCACCTGGAGCATCTGCTGCCGGCGGTGGAATGGGACCACCAGGACCACCTGGACCGGCTGGAGATGCAGGAGCGCCCGGTTGGCATTTTAACTTTCGTTCTTTCTGGAAATAATGCTGGATAAACTCAAAACAGTTTTAAAAGGTTTTATTCAAGGTAAAAGTCAAATTTGTATTATTTTGTAAGCAAATTTGTCAGTTTTATTTTGGCAAACATTGCATAGCGTGAGTTATGAAATTCTTCTCAGAACTTTTTAAGTAATTAAAAACTTGAACTTCTGCTAACCACTGTAATAGTGATGCATGACATTTTTTGCCGATACATTTTTGCAGACACAATTTACAAGCAATTTCAGGCGGACCAGGACCAGCAGGACCAGCCGGAGCACCCGGAACACCAGGCACGTCGGGTGCTGGATTGCCAGGACCAAAAGGACCACCAGGTCCAGCAGGAGCACCTGGTGACGCTGGAGCACCTGGTGCAGCAGCGGGCCCTGGGGTTGGCGGCCCTCCTGGACCTCCAGGACCACCTGGAAACCCAGGAACTGCTGGAGCCCCTGGCCTACCCGGAGCGGTATGTGAAATTTCTTTTCGTTGTGATTTTATCGAATAAATTAGGTAACGATTAGATCAGGCTCTTCTTTGCTTGTAAATTGACCACGAACCACTGCCATCTCGCTTCCAAGAAACTTTATTACGGTGCAGTTTACCGGCGGCTGTTCCAGCGAGCATTTGCTGTTAGGACTTATCTACCACT